CTGCGTGCTGGAAAGCGAAATACGGCAGTGGACAGTGTTGTTGCCCAGCGGCCCCGCGGGAGGTGAAGTCGGAGCCCGATGTCATCAATCACATTGCTGGGATTCGCGCGTGCGGGAATGTGATCAGCTATATACAATAACGAAGCGCCATTACTACAGCGCCAGGATCTGCTTGTGCGAAAAGGGTAAGCCTCAGCAGCAGGCACTGGCGATGCTGCTCAGCGTGATGTGGAAGGCAACGCTCAAAGAGACGTGGGAAGTGAACTGGGGCCCGCCGTCGCCGGCCACGTTGGGGTGAGAGCTCTGGCAACGTTCGGGGGCACATGGGAGACGATACCCAAGCTGAACGTCACCAGCTGCAGCGCTGGTACCGGCGCGTGCGCGGCAGGCCGGTTGTCCCAATAGGCTCTGGCGCTGCCCAGCGGGATGTTCAGGGCGAAGTTGCGTGAGGGGTGCCACCGATTTTCAGAGTTCCAAGAATGTCCCAAGTGAAACGGCCGGAAAAATCCCGGACGCGGCCGCGCGGGGCCGCGCGGCCGCGCGACGCATCAATCGCCTCTGAGCTGTATTCCCTCGGAGAGGCGCGTACGAGAACAATAATTATTCTTCAGGAATGAAAATTCGAAGGAGGTCCCAGGCGGGAGCGCCGTTATGAGAGTTCAAAATAGCTCAGTTGTGCGGGAGGTCCCAAGCGGGAGTGCCGTTCCTTAAATAAATTGCGCGGAAGTCTCAGGCGGGAGCGGAGGTCCTGAGTAAATTGCGAGGAAGTCTCAAGCGGGAGCGCCGATCCTGAGTAAATTGTGAGAAAGTCTCAGGCGGGAGCGGGGGTCATGAGTACATTGTGAGGAAGTCTCAAGAGGGAGCCGTCGTTGTTGTAATCTGGGGGGGGGGTAACAACGCAGATTGAGGATCAAGACTTTCCCTGTCAAAAAACAAGGTGCGAGCGTCGATGGGCGCACTTTGACTGAGAAAAACAATGTGCACCGGTGGGTGGGGATCAACACTAATTATTCCTCAGAAGTGAGGGTTCAACAACAACAACAACAACAACAACAACAACAACAACAATTACTAGCACGTGGGGACACTCCGTTCTCACCAGTGCCAGGGTTTTCATAGGAGGCGGGCAATACCCCCACTTTGTGGGGGGGCCGGTTCAAGCTCTACCAAATTTCCAAACGACTCTTCGCCACCACCCACACCCAGCTTCCCGCCCTATGACGTTCGGACACTTCACTTCGTGGCATGCGGACGACCGTGGCTACTATTCAGGGCCCCGCGGCCGACGACGACGGCGTGCGCGCGCGAAGAAAAAACGAATGTGTCCCGCATGGTATTATTTGACAGGGATGATGGCCCTGGCAGGTGCGCAACCGTTGTTGCAGAAGTTCGAAAAAGTTGCTCGCAAAAGCCCGTTTGACAGAAATGTTTAAAAAGTGTTGGGTTTCCTACGAATCCGCAAGAGCGCGCGGGATGAAATTTTGACATTTTTTTTGAAAAACCATTGGTTTTTTGATGTTTTTATGTTAAAATCGCTACGAAAACTAAGGTTTTGGAAGGATTTCGTCTTGCGCGCGCGAATGTCCACTTTACCTTATTTTTTGCAAGGGATTCTTGAAGTTTGGTTATGTTAGAACAAGAAATGTCATTTTATATTGTTTTTTGCAAGGGAAAGCGGGGGGGGAACAAAACAACCGGATCCGGACCAACCCGTTTTGCCGGAGACTTCCTCACGAAAATGATGAAAACATGGCTGCGGCCTAGGCGCGGCGAGGGGGCCGTGCACCAGGGGTCCCAACAATAATTATTCTTTAGAAGTAATAATGTTCAACAACAACGACGACGACGACGACGACGACGATGACGACGACAACAACAACAACAACGACGACAACGACAACGACAACGACAACGACAACGACAACGACAACAACGAGAATCCGCATCGCGGAATTCCACTTCAGCCACGCACCCAGGGACAATGAATGACCGTTCGGTCCAGCCCCCTTACTCTGATCTTTTGCTTCGGAAAAACGCGTAAAATCGTTGCACCAATCCGCTTAGGGGACGCAGCTTCGCGACAAGTGGCGACAATTTCGCAGATCGCAGCCCCCCCCCCCCCAGGGATGGCGAAGTCTCCTGGTGGTCCGCGTGAGACGTCGTTCCGCTGCACCCCCCAGCAGCCCTCGAAAGTGGCGACGGTTTGGCAGATCGCAGCCCCGCAGGGACTGGCAAGGGCTAGTCTGAATCTGCGCAGCACGTCACTCAGCTGGACTCCCCAGCAGCCCTCGAAAGTGGCGACGGTTTGGCAGATCGCAGCCCCGCAGGGATGGCGAGGACTAGTCTGGATATGCGTAGCACGTCACTCCGCTAGACCCCCCAGCAGCCCGCAAAAGTGACGACATGTTTCGCAGATCGCAGCCCGCAAAGATGGCGAGGTCAAGATTGAATAACTACGCTTAGCACGTAACTCCGCTGGACCCCCAGCAGCCCTCGAAAGTGGCGACCGTTTCTCGGATCGCAGCCCCACAGGAATCGCGAGGTCTGATCTGAATCTGCGCAGCACGTCACTCCGCTGGACCCCCCAGTAGCCTTCGAACGCGGCGACAATTTCGCAGATCGAAGCCCCACAGGAGCGGCGAGGTCTAATCGGCCGCCTTCTCAGTCGGCCAGCGCAAGGCCCTGCAGCCCTTTCTCGAGCAGCTCAGCTCACTCGACTCGAACGCCTGGATGTACTCCTGCCCCGACGATGCGAACATCGTGTTCCCGGTGGCTCTGGCCGCGCAGGCGCTCCAGCTCCTCCAGCAGGCGCTGGCGCCGTACGACCTGGAGCTTAACCAACGAAAAAACCCAGGTGGACGCGGGCCCAAGAGGTGCTCTCGCCTGAGCTGCAGAGGCACTGGGTGGCGGCGCTCCCGGTCCTGGGCGCGCGCCAGGGCAAGCGGGGACCTGGCGGACGCCCCCTCCTGCTGGGCCAGCAGGACAGCAGCCTCGATGCGGCGACGGCCCGGTTGCGCTCCCTCTGGCCGACACTCCGGCCGCTCACGCAAAACAGCCTGCGCCGGCAGGCGGCGGGAAGCCTGCTGAGCACTTGCGCGGGCGCGGCCAGTCAGCACGCCTTGCGGGCCTCCTTCGTGGACAACTAGGAGGCGCTGCGCTAAGACGACGACCTGCTGCGCTGCTGGGAAGAGCTGGCCGGCAGGAAGTTCGAGCCACTCAGCAAGGAGATTCTGAGCCTCCCGCGGAAAGAGGGCGGAGCAGGTATCCAGCGGGCGGCGACGCGCATGGCGGCCACCTTCTTGGCGGGCTGGGCCTTCGCCGCGGAGTGGGTGGCTGCCGACATCGGGACCTCGGCGGACGAGTTCCTCGAAGCGCTGCCGAGCTTGGAGCAAGCCCTGAAGCAGGCGCGCGCAGAGCTTTGGTCCCCCGGAGCCGACCAAGCGCCAGGGGCCGCACTTCTCACAGCGTTCCGAACCGCTATCAAGCAAAAGCAAGATCGTGAAACGTGCGCAAACGAACAAGCACGCTGCCCTGCGGCAGCGCTCGCCCGAGCACGACAGAGCTTTGCTTCTGGGGGCTGGAGGCCCAGGGGCGGCGGCTTTCCTGCTGTACCGAAGCGACACAGCGTGCGCCATGAAGGATGAGCTCTGGTCGACGGCGCTGCACGCACGGGCGCTGCTGCAATGGCCAGAATGCGCGCAGGCCGAGCTGGCCGCGGCCTCGTCCACCTTCCAGAACCGAGGTGGCGGCGCTGGCCCGGGCGCGGCTGCCTGCGGCGCTCCGCTGGGCGACAGGGCTGGGCACTCCACTGTCTGCGCACGTAGCGGAGGCGTGTTCTGGCGCCACGGTCGGCTCGACGACGCAGTTGCTGGGCTGATCCGACGCTGGCTCCACCACGTGCCCTTCCTGGAGCAGCGGGTCCCCACGTGGGATCGCTAGTGCCCCCGACGTCCAGCCGACCCGCCGGGCGGGGACCTGCTTGAGCGCGCCATCCTTGACATCGAGTGCCACGAGGGCGCTGGGCAGCAGGTGATGCACCAGTGCACGGACGACCGCTGGAGCGCAGAACTGCCCCGCGCATATATGTTGGTCAGCTGCGTCGTCCAGACGCAGCTGGCGCTCCAGCGCCAGAAGACCGCCACCCTCCGCTATGCGGGCCAGCCCCTGTGTCCTCTTCTCCCGTCCTCCTCCTCCTCCTCCTCCTCCTCCTCCTCCTCCTCCTCTTCTTCCTCCTCCTCCCACGCGCGCCTCTCTCCAATTCACCGTAATTCGTTTGGCTACTTTCTGGTCGGCCCCCCCCTCCCTCTCCTTCCCCTCTCCTTGACCGCCCCAATTCAATGGTGGGGCCTGGTGGCGCACACCCGACAGCACCGCCACGCCTCCTCCGCATTCCGGTTCTTTCCAGCTCCCCTCCTCCTTCCCTCCCCCGCCTTCCCTGTCACCTCTTTCTTGTTTTTGAGGGGAGGGTGCGCCTTGTCGCCAGCACCCAGGTGGAAAGCCGCCCTCCACCTGGGCACTAGGACAGCACCTCCGGACAGGCCCCCCCCCCCGGTACAGGTGGCTTCCTGTTCTGCCTGCTCAGGGCACTCGGCCGACACGCCCTGACACTGGTGGACACTTGTTCCAAACATGGACGAGTGCCCGGGCCGCGGCCTCAGAGGAGGAGGAGGAGGAGGAGGAGGAGGAGGAGGAGGAGGAGGAGAAGGGATGATGACCGAGAGGGAGGGGAGGGAGGAGGTAGAGGAGGAGGAGGAGGAGGAGGAGGAGGAGGAGGAGGAGGAGGAGGAGGAGGAGGAGGAGGAGGAAGAGAAGGAGAGAAGGAAGAGGGGGAGGAGGGAGGAGGAAGGAAGAGGAGGAGGAGGAGGAGGAGGAGGAGGAGGAGGACCAAGAGGAGGAGCAGAGGAGGAAGCAGCAGAGGGTCGCCGACGCAGGCGACGACGGTGCCGATGACGACGGCGACGGGAACGGCCAAGAACAAGAACGGCGACGAGGAGTCCTGCGAGCACGCGCCTTCCATTCCCGGCCGAGCGCGAAGGTCGGCGCTCTGAAGCTTCAGCACTTTGCGAACCTCGGTGGGTTCGTCGGCGTCGTCGTCGATCGCAGAACGATCGGGGGTCGAACGATCGAGGTTGTTCCCAGAGACTGGTCTCTGCAACCCTTTTTCGGGCCCCCGACCCTTCAAAGAAGGACCGATCTAGGGCGTGATCGACCACGTCGACCACGAAGACGACAAGGCCAGAAACCACGACGACAGGGCGACGACAGCGACGGCCACGGCGACGGCAACGGCCACCGCGAAGGCACCGATGACGATGCCGACGGCGGGGGAGGAGGAGGGGGGGGAGGCGAAGTGGGATGACAACGACGACGACCACGACGACCACGACGACGACGCGGGCGACGACGACGACGACGGCGACGAGGACGGCAGCGGCGACGGAAGCTTGGCCGCGTGCCTCGGCCTGACAAGCCGCCGACCCCTGTCCTTTGATCGAGTAGACGTGTTCGGTCAGGCAGATCTCGGGGCGGCCGAGGTCAGCGGGGGCGGCCACGGTCGCCGCGTGCGTCGTCGTCGTCGTCGTTGTCGTCTTTCTGTTCGTCCTGTGTCCCCGTCGAAAAGGATGTGTGGACGAGGAGAAGGGGGAGCTGGAAAAGCGGATGGACGGGGATAGGCAGGAGCAGGAGGGGGCTGGGTGGGTGAAGGGTACTTGCTTTAATGATGACGCTGCTGACGATGATGATTGTGATGACGAGGGTGAGGATGGTGGTCGCGATGATGGTGACTATGATGATAGCTGTGACGGTCATGACCGATCAATGCACAGCGTGTTTTTTTTACCACGGGCCGATTATGACACATGCTGGCACAGGAACAAGCAATGGAAGACATTCGAGTACATCCAGCCGGTCGGTTTGCGCGGCAGAAGGGGGAGAATGGGGATTCCATACCTTGACATCACACTACGCTATAGGCGCACATAACAATTGCTTATGCCTAGGGTTGTGCTGCTAATTCAAGCGTCACCACCTCAAGGCCCGACATCGACTGTAATACCGTTGAGCGTGGGGTAATGACGGCCAGAAGCGATGCGACGTTCAACATATTTTCGGCCCGTCTTTCCCGTTGGAAGAGGGGGCTTGCACGCTTGACGGAGGGCATGCACCTGCCTTCCACAGTCACGCTGCTTATACTGGATGCAGACGTAACCGAAGCTGTGGCCGCTGGCCTTTCAAAGCAACACGTTGTGGCCAAGCTCCGCAAACCGAAGGTGGTCGAACATAGGATCCCGACCCTGGGACCGTGACGGCAGATTCCAGCGAACGGTTTCGGATCAGATCGAACACCCTTGAATCAACGTGTGCACTGCTAGAAGTGACCCACCCACCACGAAACATGAGATGACTGGCTCTGCTCTCCCTTCGGTGGGAGCTTTACGCACTATGAAGACGAGGGGCCCAACCACGGCCATGGAGAAAGAAAGGCGACTCTGGCGAGCACACAAGCTTCGAAACAAACAAGTGCTGGTCTAGACCAGCTTGCTGCTCAGCTAGTGGCGATGTTGTGCCAGCTGTCCGCGATGTTGGACATTACATCAGCGGATCGGCAGAATCATTGCAAGGCTTAGAGCGCTGCTCCTAAACGTTGAAGGCAGGGCCGTCTTCCACATGAGCCTTGACCGAGATCTGCTCGAGCTTCGACATGCAATGCAGTACGTCCCAACAACATTCGAGCAATCAGAGAAGCCTCTTCTGATGAACGAAGACAAGTCTGGCATGGTCGAGAATCGCCGGCCTTGATCGTCGGGTAAATCATCCAGTGTGTGGTGTCATTCCCGTGAACTGCTTGACGCTGACACCGATGACCCGTCGGCATACAGGCGCGCACAATAACACATGTTTGCAACTACGGTCAATGTCGAACACCCTGATGGTAATGCGTTATGGCTATCGACTACGTCATGCGATTCGACTCAAACGTATGGCGGTGATGGTGGAGATGATGATACTAGTGACCAGGATTAGCTCGCTGCATTGCGATGGCGGGGAGGGCCACCAGATGATGATGATGATGATGCTGATGATGATGGTGATGATGCTGCTGATGATGATGCTGATGAAGGTGATGATGAAAATGCTGATCGTGTTGCGGATGTGATGGTGATGATGGTCGTGATCACGATGATGATTAAGATACATCTGATGATGCTGATCAGGATCGTGATTATGACACTGAGGGTGTCGGCGATGATGATGATAATGAGGCAAAGTATGCAAATGCTGCTGATGATGATAATGATGATGATGATGATCCGGGTAACGATTTTGACACTGGCGGTGGTGACGATACTGATGATGATGATGATGATGATGATGATGATGATGATGATGATGATGATGATGATGCTGATGATGCTGATGATGATGATGATGATGACATTGCTGCTGTTGGTGGTTATGATGATAGAAATGATGGTGTTGATGATGACGATGAGGATGACGATGACGACAGCGATGATGCTGATTATGATGATGATGGTGGTGGTGATGATGCTGAGGAAGAGGAGGAGGAGGAGGAGGAGGAGGAAGAGGAGGGGGAGGAGGGGAGAGGAGGAGGACGAGGAGGAGGACGAGGATGAGGAAGACGGGGAGGGAGATGAGAGAAACGGCAGGAGAGAAGATAAAGAAACGGCAGAGATAGGGGAAGAGAAAGGGGAAGAAGGCGACATAGTGTGGTGATTGGAAGTGGCGCGGGTGGACGAGAGGAGGATGAGAAGAACACTCAGGAGAGGGTCGCTTCACGCCCCCTCCCCCCTTTGCCCCACCTCCTGCCTCCTTCTCATCCTCCTCCGCTGTCCTCCCTCCCCCCTTCTCCTCCTCCAACACAGTCGAGAAGGCCCTGGGGATTCCAGGGTGTATTCCATGGTGGCTTTGCGGGGCAGGAGGGGTAAACAAAGGGGGGGAGAGAGAGAGGGGGGAGGAACAACTAGGTGCGCTCGCGTCATATCTGACGTCCTACCCGTCCCTCCCATCCCTTACCATGGCGTAGATCTCCTCTTTATTCGCACAGTCGGATGCCGAGCAGGGCAATGATCCCGAGAGGGTGTTCGAGGCATCGTAGAGCACGGCATAGCAGGACGTAGAAGAGCACGGCGGAGCGTAGTATGTCATAACATGGCGTGGCGTTGCGTAGTGAAACATTGCGTCGCAAACCATTGCAACGCAAATAATGCCACTGCACATAACATAACAAAAATATTCCGGGCGTCATGAGGGGAGAGAGGAGAGTAGTTTGCATAGTATGAAATTGTCGAGGAGAACCAGGAGAGGGAGAAGGATGAGGGAGGAGGTGGATGGGGAGGATGAGGAGAGAGTGGAGGAGGAGGAGGAGGAGGAGGAGGAGGAGAAAAAGGAGGAGGAGGAAGGGGAGGAGGAGGAGGAGGAGGAGGAGGTGAAGAGAGAAGAAAGGAGAGAGGAGCGAGGAGCGAGAAAGATAATGACGAGGAGGAGGAGTAGGAGGAGAAGGAAGAGGTTGATGATGATGATGATGATGATGATGATGATGATGATGATGATGATGATGATGATGATGATGATGAAGAGGAGGAGCAGGAGCAGGAGGAGGACGACGAGGAGGAGGAGGAGGAGGAGGAGGAGGATTTACCAAGGATTTACCATGACTGCAGTCCTGCCTCTGCCGTGCAGAAAGGGACCTGCTGGGCCACGGGGGACACCCCCCCAACGGCCACCCGTGGTCGAGATGCCCTAGCACGGAAAACCCGCAACCCGCGCAGCGCCCGACGCCGCTCGCTGGCGCTGCCTCGCCGGCAGGGGGCCACCCGGGTCGGGTGTAAGCGACCCGTGGGGCCTCGACGCCAAGCCGCCGGCAGGGGTCCGCCGCGTCGCTCCACGACGCAGTACCCCACCTGCCCCGGCGCAGCGCAGCGGAGGGGCCGCGCCGCCTCCGCGCCGCGGCCGCCAGGGGTGCCCCAGGGGGGCGAGGAACGCCAGGTAGGGAGAGGCCAGAGACATCGAGCCAGGGGGGGGGAAGCCTGGCAGCGGGGGGCATCCCGACCCTTTCCCACCCCACTGCCACACCCCACCCATCCCAAGGGGGAGGGCCCTCGCGGCCGACGGGGCCGCGGTCCCCAAAACACCCCCGCCGCCCTCCACCTTCTACGGCTGGTCCCAAGCTCTATTTCTATTCCGCCGATACAGGCGGCAGTCGACCACTTTGGGTTCCCCGACCATCCCGGTGTGCTCACCGGCCCCCCCGGCCTATGCGGGGGGGGGGGGGGATGATGATGATGATGATGATGATGATGATGATGATGATGATGATGATGATGATGATGATGATGATGATGATGATGATGATGATGATGATGATGATGATGATGATGATGATGATGATGATGATGATGATGATGATGATGATGATGATGATGCTGATGCTGATGATGATGATGATGATGATGATGATGATGATGATGATGATGATGATGAGGAGGAGGAGGAGGAGGAGGAGGAGGAGAGGAGGAGGGGGAGGCGGAGGCGGAGGAGGAGGAGGAGGAGGAAGAAGAAGAGGAAGAGGAGGAAGAGGAGTAGGAGGAGGAGGAAGAGGAGGAGGGAGGAGGGAGGGCAGGAGCAGGCGGAAGGAGGATGAACAAGAATGACGCTTGTATCCCAAAGTTTCGCTGGCCTCAACCCCACCTCTGCCTTAGTCCGCGAGCTGGGGCGGCTGGGGGACGAGAAGAGAAGGATGAAGGAGGAGGAGGAGGAAAAGGAGAAGGATAAGAGGAGGAGGAGGAGGAGGAGGAGGAAAAGGAGAAGGATAAGAAGAGGAGGAGGAGGAAGGACGGGGGAGAAGGGTGGAATTCGCCTGACACGTACCTGGAGGAAACAGGGGAGGGAGGAAGGAGAGTAGTTTTCGGTTCCGCATGGGAGAGAGACTGAGAAGGAGAAGGAGGATGAGGAGGAGGAGGAGCGTCGGGAGGAGGAGGTGGAGAGAAGAGGGATAAAGGGAGCTCCCTTGGACTCTGATGAGCCCGTCCTGGGTGCCCAGGGTGGCCGCGGGCGCCATCAGGCCCTCACTGTGGGCGCTGCGACCCAATGGCCCTGCGCGCCGGGTTCACCCGCAAAGGCCAGTGGGTCCTCCCCAAAGGGTCGAATCCACAGGGTCCAAACCACTGGGTACAACACACATGTTCGCACACGAAGGGTATCACCCCATAAGGTGCACCCCTGGGGTCCTACCCATACGTTCATACACACAAGCAGTCCAGCCATAGGATCCCTCCCATAAATGACCCCCCGAGATTTCACCAAACGAGGTGCCACCCCACACGTTTCACCTCATGTGTTGTCACCCCAAAGTTGCCCCCCCCAGAATGTTGCACCCCATGCTTCTCCATACATAGCACACCTCAGCAATGCATACTTTACACAACATCAATTGCCCCCCCCCATAGGTTGCAACCCGTAAGCCCCACCTCGAGTTCTTACGAGTGGTGACTGCTTT